TTTCATATTTTTTGTTTGTTTTTCTTTTTTGATACAATCACAATTTTTTTTATACTTACGAATAATTTTTTTTTTATTTCCAAATTACAGATATACGTGATTTTCCCTACATTATGAGAAAAAATATTAAAATGAATGTTTTTCATGGCATTTACACATACACACACTCACTTGAATTTGTTGTTTTAGCAGAAAATTTGTGCTTTTGAGAAAAATTTTTCACTTCAAGAACACATGAGCCTCCTAAGATTTAAGGTTAAGAATATTATTGTATTTTAAAATATTTTAAATTTTGTTTTATTTCATTTTAATATTCTCCATAAAAATGATTAAAATTTACAGCTTTTATATGCCAAAAAATTATTTTATAAGAAAAACATTCTAACCATGATAATTGATAAAAAATTAAAATTATGCAATATAGACCTAAAAATGGTAAAGCTGGTCCTTAAAAATTACCGATACAAGGCACTTGGAATATAAAGGTACAATATAATAAATAATGTAAAGAAATTATTTTATAAATATGCAATAATTTCAGGCGATTCACTAATTGGGCTAATGTGTACAATACAAAACCTTAATGGAGCTGCAATGATCATTCTACATTAATTATTTTATTTTAATTCACTTAACGGTAACACTTAGATTGAATTTACCTTGTGAATTGTTCCTTTAACTTAATTTTTCACATCTTATTTTTTTAGTTTAATGTTTAATCATATAAAAGTGAATAGCTTTGAAGCTAGATTTCGAATCGGAAGATTAAAATGAGACCATTGATATTCATAGAGCAAGTTATTGTATTAGAACTAGTATTAGGAAATTAATCTGCATTATCGACAATTTAACCAGAGGAAATTTCTAAAATATATCTATGAATAATTAATAATATGTACCTACATTATATTAAATTAATAATTAAAATGTTTATGTCTGTTAACAGATTTGTGACAAATAAAATTATAATAATTACGAATTATTATATCAAATATCTTGATTAATTATAATTAAAATTAATTAATTTTGTATAATTAAAATTAATTTTTCAATATTAATAACAATATGATTTGCTTTTAATTGAAAATATATAAATTGTATATTATTTTGACAGAATTCAATATTAAATTTAAACTTTTAAAGAAATCCTTTTTAATACACATGTATGTATATGTAGATATAATAAATTTAATTATGTATATATTACTACATATGTATGCGAGTATATATTATATTGTGCCTTTTGTTCAATTCATGAAACATATTACTTACAATTTGTATATGTAGGTACTTTTCCAAGTGAAATAATTATGTATAAATATTGTAGAGATATGCCTGGGTCCGATTAAAGCGTAACTAATTGGCAATCAACTTATAATAATCGGTAAAACTAAATGAAAAAATGTACATATATATACATATATGTACTTACATATGTATATATAAATTTTTAATTTTTCTTCTCATACATATATTTTATATTCACAACAATATTTACACATCCTGTTAATTCATTAAAATAATTCTTAAAATCGGCTAAATGAAATTAAAAAGAACAATTAAGAGGAAATAATGAAACAAAAATTATTACTTACATACATACATATGTATGTTTGTATATACAAATCGAATTACCCACCTTCTTTAATTCAATTATCCCAATTATTAACACATATCAGAGCAATAAAAAGAGAAAATCTTTGCGGGCAATTTTTTTTATTATAATATTATGTACGCAAATTAAAAAAATATATATTTTGTATATAAATATAAAAAAAAAAACCTTTCATTCACCTATAGGAATTTTAATTTTTACAAAAAATTATTTTTATGTGGCATAAAAAATATAGAAAATCTTTAATTTATTTATGAATGCGTGTAGTAACAGTAAAGCAGATAGGAATTTTATAAGCCTAAAGATTCTTAAAGTCAAAATTGATTTACAGGGTTGAATCAAGAACAGAAGCATATTATGGTACTCTCTCGAATATTAGTTTTTGCAAATGCGTAAGGGAAATTCGGTTTTTAGGTTGAATATTTGTATAATCCAAGAGAGACATCAGGTTTTTGTGAACGGTTATTGTACATTTTGTTATTTGGTATAAAATAACATTCGCACTGCTGCATTTTTCTTAACGGCTCCTAAATCAGATCAGGTGGGAAGACGACTCATATTCCAGATTAAAACTCATATAATAACTTTGCCAGCTACGACTTCCACATTTTTTGAGTTGTGACCATTGTCTCTATAAAATTTTTGTTTACTCAATGAGGGTCTATACAATGTTATAATTTAATATCTTTTTCTGTTTCTTTTTTTTATATTTTCAGGGAAACTTTTTTATGCCAAGAACAACAAATAAAAATTAAAAATATTGAAAAAAAGAAAACCAACCACCAAAAAAAAGGGAATCATGTCATTTTCAGGTCATTATTTTTATTATATAATTATACACGTAAATACATTCCCACATACAATACATTCATATTATTAATACAGGAATTTTCCGCATTTCCATTTACTGATTCAATAAAATATTAATAAATATTATTCACCTATACACAATATAACATACAAATAAATTTTGCTACGAATTTCTGAAATCGAAAAAATTAAAAAAAAATTTTTATTCAATTACAAAATAAATAATGATGTTAAGGTCAAGTCCTCAATAAATAAGTTAATTCTGCAGGTTATAAATCCAAATGCAAATACATACATACAAACATACATATAATGTTTTTTTATAAGTGCATATAACCAAATTCATGAGCATTTATGTACATATGTAGATAAAGATTGTCACAATATGTAGCCACAATTTAAAAGTTGTCCTATATTTATTCAAAAAAGGGATTTTTAAAGTTCATATTAACCTTCTTACCTACTAATCAAAATATTAATTGAAAAGGACTAAGTAAGTGGTTGTGTGTACATTTGTCAAAAATCATAATATGGCTCATATACATAGTACATATAAAATGTAGTATCAGATGTTATAGAAGACTATAAAATATTTATAGATTTTTTATGCATTTAATGTAATAAATTGCATTTAAATGAAGAAATTTTAGAAAAAAAAAATCAAAATTATAAACGCCCCGGAGATGCAATTTCAAATGAAAGGGAAATTAAATATAATATAAGTATGTATGTATATGTTCAAATGGCTAATATTCCTTTAACATTTTTGTTTTATTTCCAATTTTTATTTTTTTTTAACCTAATTATATGTTGTAGATAATATCCAGCATTACGAAAACATTAAAATTAGAATTACCGATGAAGAAATTACAGGAATTGAAATAAAAATATCTAGAAATAATTATTGGCAATAAGGTAAACTTTAATAACCATTGCGATTACCACATTTCTAAGAAAATTTCAAAGAAGATAAATGTTAAATAAGAGATTTTGAATAAATATACAATTATATTACCATATTTTGACTACCAAATTTGACAGACGACAAATATTTCAAAATAGAATAATCAGAATATTATGATCAAATGTGATAGAAAGACGCATATTAGTACTATGATGTTAGTACGATAATATAGATAATTTAAAATAGATTAAACCCAAAATATATGGAACAGCACATTGACTACGTAGGAGTATTTTCACGTACTACGTATTGACTACGTATTTTCAAATTCTATTCCTAATTATTAAAAATGAAATTAGTTTGTATTTTATTGAAGAAATTTGTATTGAAATTTTTCGTATTTAAAATTTTCATTTTTAGTATTAAATTTTTTAAAATAAATATTTACAAGATTTATTACATTCCTAAAATTAAAAAAAAAAATAAAATAACTATTTTTAAAGTAAATTGTTTATAGTAAAAGTTCCTTGTGCTCATATAGATTACAATTTTTCAATGTCCAAATTTTATATTGAAAATCGAAGAAAAAATAGTATAAAAAAAAATGAATATTTTTTAATAATTCTTTCCTAAGAAAATAAGAAAATTTTTTTACATAAACTTTAAATTTAGGAAAATTTAAAAACTATTTTGTGCGTCCACACATTATATTTACATACATATATGGGCTATATCCTTGTACACATAACTTTTTTAAGAAAAAATCTCTGCTTAACTACTATGTATGTATGTATATAAAAATAGTTATAAAATATAAAAAAAATATATTAAATATATCTACCTTGACATAGAAAACTTTTCCGTATACTTATGATAATATAAGAATTTAAAGCTATTAAAATATGTACTCGTCCGTTTTATCTTCTTTTCTTCCCTTTTTTTCCAAAGATCCAATGTAAAAACTTTTATTCTACGTTCATATATTAAAAAATACAAATATCTTTAGTAATCGTATTTGTATGTATGTAATATGCATACAATATTCTTTTTCTATTTGAATTTTTTTTTTTCCTAATAATTATTTTTTTTTATTTTCTATCCAGTTAAAAGAAAATTTGTAACATCATAATTCAAGTAATTCATCTTTTCTCTATAAATTTATTCATATAAGTTTTGATAATTTTATTTTTGGTAGATAGGTGGGTTTGCTACCCACAAATTTTTGGCTTGTTCAATATATTTAAATATTTAAATATTTTAACATAATTTTAAAGATTTAAATTAGAGATTATTAATTTCAAAAACGTTCATCCGAATATATTGGTGAATCACATACAAATATGAAAAATTTGGAATGAGTTCGAAACACTACCTCAAATATTTTATTTTAATTACAACTTCCATAAAAAATATTTTTTATTTTTTTAATTAAAATTTAAAAAAAATTATTCTCTGGCTTACTTTAGTAAATAAAGAATTAGATCAAAGCTGATTAATTCTGTTCTAAATCACATTAAATATGTTTGTCATAATTGTTAAAAAAGAGTCCAAATATTCAATTTACTTGTTAGATACAAGTCAAGAATCGAAACCGAAGTTTTCTTAAAATTATTTTTTCAAATAAAATATATTTTAAAGTAAAATTATTATTTATTGTTCTCCAAAGTACATTCAGTCAATTGTTTCTTAAACAAGCTTGAAATTTTATATAAAAGAACAAATTATTTAATATCTATATTAAAAATACATAAGTGAATCATAAATTTATAGGGATTTCAAAATTAGCAACATAATAATTACGACTTGTTTTACCTCTTACAAGAATTTTATATGGTTCTTTACTTGTATTTACTAACTCTTTAAGACCTTCAGCAACAACATAACCGATTCCTATTATCTTAGAATGTATATAACTAAAATTACTATATTTTACATAGCCAATAACTTCTCTTGAACATTGTTTTCTTACACATTTCGGACTTTCAATTATCCATAATTCAGATGCTTCTTTGGCACATGAATTTTTTATGCTATTCGCTAAATTTTTCATTTTAGTATTGTATAATTTTTTATTTTGCTTATTTTTAAAGATTACTTTTGATGTATCAATTTTTACAAGACGTTGCTTTTTCTCTTCATTTTTGGATTTCTTGATTAAACAATTTTTTAAAGGTTCTGTGTAAGCAACATTCTTATATTTGGCACATTTTAAATCTTCTTTATGAGGAATACAAATTATAGAAAGATCATCAAGTTTTCCCTTTGTTTTCATTTGAATATAAATTTGTATTAAGCATCCTGGTTCCACATTTGGAAAATCTGCTTTTCTCAATAATGACTTACTAATATTTTGCAAAGATTCTAGGTCTCGTAAAACAAAAAAATTTTGTTCTGATTCTAAAGGATACCATTCATTTACTAATTCATTAAAAGGTAATTTGAAAGGACTACTTATACAAAGTTTATTATAATTGCATCGTTTATTTAAAGGTTTTTTGAAATGTCGAGATTTTAATATTAGAGCACGTTCTTCACTTTCTATTTTACCTGATACTGTATCTGGCAAAAACATATCTAAACCACTTTCTTTGAAAATAGATTGCATTTCCCGGAATCCACCAACTCTTACTTTACAAAATAACAATGATTGCCAAAATATTGAACTATAAAAATCTGGAACTATTAGATCCCAACCCCCGCCGTAACCTAATTTACTGATTGTATTATTATATGATCCTGGATTTTGAATTAGAATGACTGGTACTGTTTGTAAACAATTTTCAAACATTTTTTCCGTTGAAATAAGAGCAGTTTTTCTTACAATCTTATTATATTCAGGATCATTAATAAAGCCGACTTTTAATTTCTGTCGGATGTTTGAATTCCATAAAAAGCTCTCGGAAATTTTTTCTGAAAAATTTGAATAATTTTCAATTGTTTTTCCTTCCTGCATCCTTTCAAAGTTTCCTAAGCTACGTGGATCCTGAACGTTCAATGATATTACCATATTGGGTAATATTTGTTCAGAGTTGCAGCCTACCCAAAATTGACTTTGTAAAGTGTGATTTTCTCGATGGGATGAACTCTGCATTGCTTCTAAAAACCAACTACCCTTTACTTCATCAGCAATTTTACTTGGCCTCAATATTTTTAAAAGAACACTTTGCGATCTAGGCCCTGTTATGCGAAAACGATTAAAAGTTTGCTTTAGTTCTATTAAAGACAAATTTGTGGATTTATTTTCATAACCAGATATTATACTTGTTTCATCATTTGATGCATTTTCACCCTGAAATTTCACAAGTTCAAAAGTTTTTATTATTTCATTCAATATATTTGAATAGCAAGATGGATGTATCCAAATCCATAAAGTTCGTTTTTCACATTGTGTTTTACAAGGTTTCCACATGAAATTAACTTCTCCCAGTGCACCTCTCGGGAACATTTCGTTTTGAAAGAGTGTTACATGACCTTCACGAGCACCACTTGAAAAAGTTTTAGCACATATAGAAAGATTAGAATTTCGATTAGTTAATAGCTGGAATCGATCTTTAATGTCCGCTAAAAATCCGTTTATTTCAATACAATTATAATACGATATATCTTGAATGAGGCAAGATGCTTTTATTGCTTTATGACAAGATCGATATGATTTTTCACTAGGGCAAAATGGAATCTTGCAATTCCACTTTTTTACCATTAAAAATCTTTTGCTATGCCAAATATGAGTTTTTAGCAAAAACATCTTTTTTCTAAAAATATTTTTTCGAAGTTTCTTACTTTTCGGTTTTTTAGAATGTTGAGTCAATTTTCCAGATTTCTTCATTTGGGACAAATGCACTTTTCGATATATTTTTGGTAATCTCTTTGGATAATGTGACATTGCTCTTCTTCTCATATGCTTTGGCAAGGATTGGAATATCAAAGTTGTATTAGCTGGATATTTAACATTTTTAAGTAATGTTTTAATTTCTTTAGTATAAGCTGATGCATGTTGAAATGTTTTCACATGCTCCATTTTAATTCTTTTATTTTTAATTGCCAAACTCGAATTATTTTTATGTAAATTGTAACTTAACTTATACCTCAACAGCTGCAGACGATAGTATGCTCTTCGGTGAAATGAATAAGGAAGAAGTAAACAATAACATAACCTAACTGAAAATTCATTTTTATAACACTTTTACTATTGCCCCAAAGATGTCACTATCAGTACCAAGTTTTACAAATAAATGACAATCTTAAGAATTTTGGTATATGTTCTTGATTTTGACATTTCCGCTAAGCATTTGACATTAAATTGCTTCCAAAAATATTCACAATAGTACAATTTTTTTGCTCATTTCATTTTATTGTTCAGGCAGGAATTTTATAAAAAAAAAATAATATAATGTGTTAAGTAATATAATGGATAACCTGATTATTTTCATGTCACCTCAACAAATGTTAAATAGATTGAAAAAACTATAAAATATGACAATGTGAGTTATATTGAATGTTGAAAGAAATATATATATATATATATATATATATATATATATATATATATATATATATATATATATATATATATATATATATATATATATATATGTATATAACAATTTATTGCTTGAAACTTTTATGTATTTTTTCGAAAATAATTGTAAAATGTAATTTTAATTTTTTTTGAATGAAACAAAGGACGATTGTACAAGAGACTTTTATATCCAGTTCGCGTTCATAACTAAAATTTAAGAAATATGCAAACCTGTAACTCATTTAACTTTTCCATTACATTACATAAACAAGATTTATTTAAAATAAATGCCGAAAAATAGTTTCAACCGTGAATTCGAAAAAAATCCCTTTCAGAGAAATTTTTTTTATATAGGAATTTTCATACTTGTCATTTGAAAGCATTTCACAATCGCGCCAAAACAAAATTCTGAAAGCGCCAAAAGTAACATTTAGAGCTCACTTTCAAATAAGTATTCTTTAATATCACAAGGATTACAGGTTCCATTATTCCATTGTTACATATAAAAAACTATTAAAATAAATAAACATTTGAAAAAATTGTTTATATTTGTGATATTATTTCAATAAAAAGGTTTGTTTATGAAGAAATCTAACATTAAGTATTAAATTGTTTATTTTCTAGATATAAAAACAAAAAAAAATTTCAATATGTTTGAAGCTAGGCTTGGTAATGCTGCCACTTTGAAAAAAGTTTTAGATGCTATTAAAGATTTGCTCAATGAAGCTACATTTGATTGCAGTGATTCTGGTATTCAGGTTAGAGAAATTCATAATTGTACAACAAGGAAAATTTCCTTTTTGAAAAACTTTTCCCGGACATAATTCACGTGAGATTTGTAATTTATATTTTCTTTTTTGTTTTTATAGCTGCAAGCAATGGATAATTCACACATATCCTTGGTTTCATTAACATTACGTTCTGATGGTTTTGACAAATTCCGATGTGATAGAAATTTGTCAATGGGTATGAATTTAGGAAGTATGGCAAAAATACTCAAATGTGCTAACAATGATGATACTGTAACAATGAAAGCACAAGATAATGCTGATACAGTAACATTTATGTTTGAATCACAAAATCAAGAGAAAGTTTCAGATTATGAAATGAAATTAATGAATTTGGATCAAGAACATTTAGGAATACCAGAAACTGATTATTCATGTGTTGTACGTATGCCATCATTAGAATTTGCAAGAATTTGTCGTGATTTAGCACAATTTGGTGAATCTGTAATTATTTGTTGTACAAAAGAAGGAATAAAATTTTCAGCATCTGGTGATGTAGGATCAGCAAATATTAAATTGGCACAAACATCAACTGTAGATAAGGAAGAAGAGTCTGTTATTATTGAAATGCAAGAACCTGTAATATTAACATTTGCATGCCGATATTTAAATTCATTTACAAAAGCTACACCATTATCACCACAAGTTCAATTATCAATGTCTGCTGATGTTCCATTGGTTGTTGAATATCGTATTCAAGATCTTGGACATATACGTTATTATTTAGCTCCAAAGATTGAAGATGACGAAAGTTAAAAATATAAAATGAAAATTTGAACAATTCAAAAAAAATTTTTTTTCAAAATTCATTATGCACTGATTGATTGAGTAAGATAAAATATTTAATTTTTTTTTTTTTTTTGCAATGGAACTTAAATAAGTAGGTACTAAAAGAATATTGTTTGAAAATTCTAGAATTTTTAGCACAAGATAGTAAATTACATTATAAGGTCGTATAACTATAAATACTTATAATTTTTTTTTTAGGTTTTACTTACCAATAACAAATAATTTTTTTTAATAATAAAATAAAATCTTTCGCATTTAAATTATATTTGCTTTTTAGACTTGTAGAACTGAACCCACTTTATTTGAGACTTTCATAATTGAGCCTAGTCTTTACCAAAATGGAAAAAGCTTAAGATTTGGTTATCGTTTTAAAATCGATTCTTGGTACACTCTACACAAAGGACTTCCACAATATTTATATGGTTTTTAAAACTAAATCGATTGCTATTATTAAATTGCCAGTTTTATAAATGTGCCTTGGTTGGCTACCTACATATGCATTGTATTTTAAATTCTGAACGTGATTAAATTTAATCGCATTTAAAAAACTTTTCACACATCTAATAATGTTTTTAAAAACACATGTACCTATAAGAAAGAAGAAAAAATCCGAATATATGTACATACATACTACTAACCACCAACCTATCGCAAAGATTTCTTGTGTTTACCATTACCAATTCTAATAGATTTTAATTTTTAATAATTTGTTTTCCATACTTGGGTGGGTTAAGTTATATTTGTATTTTTCTGCAGGTACTGCGATTTATTTTAATATTTGCTAGTGTAGTAGCTTTTAGTCTGATGGCTATTTTTAAAACTGAAGAAAAGAAAAAATGGAAACTATTCTACTGTGTTTAAAAATATCTCAATTATATTTGAAAAGCTCTAAGCTAACTTAAAAAAAAACCTTACGCATAAATAAAATAATTTCAGTTTTTTTAAAAATATTTGATTCAATTATTCTCTTTCCGGTCTAATAGATAGGGGAGGGGGTAGATAGGTAGATGGGTAGGTAGGTAGGTACCTACCTAATTCTCTTTAATGTGATTTAAATAATAATGACAATTTTTCCTTTTTATTCTCGTTGAAAAAGCTCAACGAAATAAAGACCATTTTTATAAAGAAGTCATCAGAAACAAAAATTATTATTACTTTTTTTTTCTTTATGTAAATGTTCTTTTATGTGCAAATATACGTCAGTATATTTATAGACATATGTACATACATACACACTTATATGCAAATTTATAAATATTTATTCTTGTGTTTTTTTATTTTTTGCTCTTCTCTTCTTGAAAAAAAAAAACTTAAAAACTTTGTCAATATCTTATCTGACGAGAATTGAGACGACATTCGCAATTACTTATAGCCTGGTTATACTCTAGCTTATACATTATATTGTAGCATAGTCTGTATCTTATACAATACATACAACAATATTAAATTTAAATTGATAATTTTAATTCAATTTTACAATTGAAATAATGTAGGTATATAAGTACATTATGTGTGTATATTGATTGCACGTACCATATTCAATTGTAATATTTTTTAATATGCAAACATGTGTGCATACATGTATGTACATACTTTGTGGTCGTACAATGTTTAATTTTAGAATTAAACTAAAAAGATGAAATTGGAAAATTAAAATGATTCAAGCTAAAAAAATTCAAAACAATAAGAATATACATATGTAGGTACATACATACATACATAAAGTAAAAATATCATTTTGTTTATTAATGTCTATGTATGTATATCGAATTGTCAGTAGTAGAGGATTCTGGAAATTTCTCAGTTCAAAATTGGATCTAAACATAAATACCAATATTCTATTAGTCGCATCACTTGAAATCATTTCGGCTTGTTATTTGAAAATCTTGTAACTTTCTGAATAAAATCAATTTCGAAATTCGAAATTTTATATGTATGTATGTATTGAGAAACGAAATTTTTTTCAATAATATCCCATCATTCCAAGTGATGGGACTAATAGAATATGGTTGAAAGTTTGTATAGCAAGTACGATGAATCCTCACTGCAAAAGAAACACGCTCTGAATTCGTAACATGCTTAAAGTTATAAAGCAAAGATTTTTTTTTTATTAGCGAACTCGCCTAAATTTTAGGCGAATGAGCATTCAAATCTGTAATTAGCCCCTATAGGTCTTTAATGATGCAAAAAAAAAAACTACTAATCTTGGTATTTCAGTAGGCACATTCATATGCACATACATATTATCTACTCTTACTTGAACCAACTATTAAACTTTTCATCAATTCGCTTAGAATATAAAATATGGGAGACTTTTGTTTAGTATATAAAATATGGAAGATGTGCACTGAATTAAATCTTAAAAATCTTTTCACATATAATTACAAATCTGCAGAAAGTTAATATTTTTACACTTTAGCATATTTATAAAATGCTCGAATAATTTTTCAATAACCAACTATTTTCCATTATGGTTTTCTTTTAATTTATATAATTTTTGCAATATGTAGTTAAAAAAAAATCTTAAAAATTCCTATAGAATTTTAGGCATAACTATCATTTTCTAGCATGCTTTTTAATTAAGACCTAACTTAGAACTGAATTATTGACAATCCATAAACACATTTTTTGAATTTACTTTTAAATACCTTAAGGTTAATTATTAATTTATTGCATACGTCTCCAAGTTTCTAGCCATATAGTCATAGGCTTCATTCTCCCACATTTTGGTATTCCCTGTGTGGCAAGTACCTGTACCTGGCCTGTATAGCCTATGTGGCAGCAATATAATAAAAAATATAATATTTAATTTTAAATTAAATTGACGAGTAATAGCAATAAATTTAAAGTCTAAATTAAAGTTTAACACGTCTTTTTAAATTAATAACAACTGAAAAATAAAAAAAAAAAATAAACAAATAAACAAAATTTAGTTTTTTTTTTTTTGAATAAAGTTTAATAATAATATGATAATGTGTATTTCTAAAAATAATAATTTAAAAGTAAATAAATATGTATGTAAATTGTTTTTTTTAAGCTTATATCTTTTTCCGATTTCAAAAATTTCATTCAATTCGTGTATTTTTTTGTTTTTTTTTTTTTTTTCAAACTTGTTTTCTACATTTTCAATATTTTTTAATTTTTTTTTTCATTCTGTTTTTAATTTCTTGTTTGCTTTTTTCCAACATTTTTTAATATATTTTTCAATTAATTTTTTTTTTTCTCTTAAATTGAAACCCATACGTTGAATTTTATGTTTTTCAGTTCTTAATATTTAATCTTTTCTTTTTTTTTTTTCGTAGTATCTTTAGTATTAAAAAAGAAAGAATTTTAATTTTAAAAGTATTCGTCATACCCGCATTTTTAATATCTTTTTGTTTTCTTTTTTTTATTTTCTTAAAAAATTCAGACTTTTTAGCACATATAATTAAGCTAAAAAATTAAATTTGTAGCTAGATGAGCTTAAATTTTATTTATTTTTTTTTTCAAATACATAAATTTTTTTACTTTAATTGAAAATTATTTTTCCACAAAAAAATAAATTGAATATGAAAATATTGCACACTTCAATGCATTCAATAATTTGAGCTGCAAATTCAATAATTGTATGCAAAATAAAATGTAAAAATATAAATAAAAAAAAAAAGTGCATTTTACATAATATAGATGTTTTTGAAATTCAAATTTTGTAAAATGCTAAAATTAATTATTTGAAATATAAAATATTTATTGTATAAATAAGATTAACAGGCCTTGCCTTGCCCCCGTCTTAAGTATACAAAAAGAATAATAAGATTTCAGAGTCATAAGCAAACATTTATTTTTGAGAATATCATTTCGTATTATATGGGCTCTCAAGTGTTTAAATATTTAATTATTTTTTTTTTAATAAAAATTGTGTTAAATAAATATAATATATATTTGAATAATCAAATATATATATATTTATATAATATTTATCGTATATTATGTAATATATAAGCATTTCAGATAATTTTTTTAAGCGAAAAATAAGGTAAAACATAAAATATAAACTTGACTTAATTACAGATATTAAAAATTAAAATAAAAATAATATAAAATTTAAATAATAATTGCCTTTTATTTTTTTTTTTTTTTGAAAAACTTTTCTATTCCATTCTTTTTTTTTTTTCTTTAAATAAGGCTTTTTAACAACGTAAAATTTAAACCAAGTTTAAATTATAGTCTTGGTGTTGGATTTTTCAATTTAAGATTCTATTCATTTTAATATTAAATATTTATTTTTCTTTAAAATGAAAATAAGTCCATGTATCGAATACACAATTATTAGTATAATATTGGAGATATTCTTAAAATATTATCATATTTTATTTAAAATTATTATAATTTTAAATATAAACATCACCCATATTCTATTAGTTGAATCAATTGAGATATGATGGGATGGTTATACAAAAATTTTAATAAAATCATTTTCAAAATTTGAAATTTTATATTGAAAATCAAAATACTTTTCAATAAATATGGGTGAATATTTACAAGAATGTTGAAATGTACAAGAATTAATCTCAAAATATTATTAATTTGAATAGAAAATATTTTTATCATTTATCATTTTTATTATTAATTTCTAACTCAATTGGAAACTTTATTAAAAATTTTTTATTAAATTTTTCAATAATTTTTTATAAATTCTTGAAATTTTTATCTATATATTTCGATTTTGCAAATTCTGATTCACTACAATGACAACGATGTCTTAGTTCCGAGACTTTTATGTTATCTTAAAAAATTTTGAGATAATTAAAAATTTGCTATTCGAGAACAATAAAATTATTCTGAATCCTTAAAACTTCAATGATAACGCCCAATTTCAGGCGAAAGTTTGCAAATTTTTTCTTAATTGGATATGATTCATTTAATCTTTTAAGCAAATTTATTATGTGTAACGTTTTAAAGGAAAATCCATTTTACGTAGCTTAAACCTAACTTAAAGCAAAAAAAAAAAAAAAAAATAGTAAAATAATAAAAAAAAATTTTTATATATACACATTTTATGTATATATAAATTTTGCAAAAATACATTTTATATGAAACAAATGAGTTTGGGTTTTTCGAGTTTCTTCTTTTTTTTCAGTATTTAGTCAATTTAATTATTTTAATTTTATTTATCAATTCTTTTTTTTTTTACATCATCCTCTTTTTATGTTATTTTTTTATAAGCATATTTTAACAAATTTTATCACATTTCTTTCAGAAAAAAAAGAGACTTTGCTCAAATTGTTTTACTACTTGCTATTATTTTTAATTTACTTTCAATTATACACTCATATTCTCTTAAATGTATCACTTTAGGTTATTGAATATTATTCAAAAATATTGTTATTTTTTTTTAGAATAAAATTTTATTTGAAATTCGATACTGAAAACTTTAATACTTTTGAATAATATTCAAATCAACTGGAGTAATTCGTCAAATGGAATATGGATGATAGTAAAACCTTTCCTTCAAAGTTAAAATATTTTTATATCATAATAATATAATTGTAGTTTTTTAATTCCTTTTTTTTTTTTCTTTAAATTTACAATATTTCTGTAATTCCTATTTAATAATAAATTGAATTCGGTTTTTAAAAATAAAAAAGCAAAACGCCTTCAGCATATATTTTTACTTATGTATAATATTATGTATATGGATACATACATGAACTCATTTTATATTAATAATATAATATATTGTATATATTACATATATATATGTATATGCATGTATGTATAGATATAATTTGATAGATTAAATTTTATTATTTTTTTTCTTTTAATCCAAAATATTCCTACAATTACTAGAAATACTATTTTTAATATTTTTAAAATAAATTATTGATTACTAAGAACAGGATTTATTTGCTGCTGCTGTGGCATTTGTGATTGCGGTTGTTGTTGCTGATGTTGTTGTTGCACAGCGATATTTGACGATGGATTAATTGAAGTTAGTACTGCTTGCGATTTTTGTTGATTAACAGCCTTATTTTGTAATTGTAATAAAGTCTCTTGTGAAGCTTTTGCCTTCAGGAAAGCATTTTCAGCTTCTAAACGTTCGATTCGATCCATAAGTTCAGAAATTTTCTCCTTTAATATTTCAACTTCTTCTCGTACAGCAATCATTAAATGTGACTTGACTAAATCCATGGCTTGTTCAATTTTATTATCAATGGCAACGGAATTTTCAGTATTTTCAGTATGCTTTGCTTCTGATGTTTGTGGTGTATGCTGCTGTTGCTGCTGCTGCTGCTGTTGTTGATGTTGTTGATGTTGTTGTTGTTGCTGTTGTTGTTGTTGCTGCTGTTGTTGTTGCTGCTGTTGCTGCTGCTGTTGCTGTTGTTGCTGTTGTCGCTGTTGTTGTTGTCGTTGTTGTTGCTGTTGTTGAATTTGTTGAACCTGTTGAATAGAATTCGTTATAATTATTGCTGCTTCATTCAATGTTTGTAACTGTCGTTGTTGTTGCTGTTGTTGTTGAATTTGTTGAACCTGTTGAATGGAACTATTTATAATTGCCGCTGCTTCATTCAATGTTTGTGGTGCTGAGTTATTATGTTGGAGATTAATAGGTGCATTAACATGCGATATTAAACCATCTTGATTTATAGTTTGCATATCATTATGTTTGCCTAAATTTATCTGTTGTTGTTGCATAATACTACCAGTCATCATTTGTTGTTTTTGCTGATTTTGAATTAATTCATTTATTTGCCCAGAATCGTGATAAGATGTGGTTTCACGTAACGTCGCTGCTTGTATATTATGATTAATTAGAGAGGATGGATGGATTTGAGGAAAAGTGTGAGGCTGATGCTGTTGTTGATGGTAAATTTCATTAGCCATGTTGACTTGGGATTGTTGACTTGCAACAACATTAGCAATACTACCTTGAGGCATACTTCGAACAACATTAGCAATGCTTCCTTGAGGCATGCTTTGAACAACATGAGCAATACTTCCTTGAGGAATACTTTGAACAACATTTGCAATACCTCCTTGAGGCATACTTTGAACAGCATTCGAAATACCACCTTGAGGCATACTTTGAATAACGTTAGCAACACCACCTTGAGACATATTTTGAACAACTTTAGCAACACCAATCTGAGGCATACCTTGAATAACATTAACTCCACCTTGAGACAAACTTTGAACAGTATTAGCAACACCACCTTGGGGCATACTTTGAACCATATTGGCTACACCACCTTGAGGCATACTTTGAACAACGTTAGCAACACCACCTTGAGACATACTTTGTGTTAAAATATTAGCTTGTAGTTGAATATCAGACGGCATTGAAGATGTCGGAATTCCGGTCATTCCGGTATTCATTTGAGAATTTTGCTGATTAGAAAGTAATTGTTGCGGCGTAATCATTTTTTGTATTTGAATGTTAGATGGAAATGTTGCACCATGTATTTGATCATTCTTTTGGATATTCACAAACGACATTGGTTGCGACTGCCCTGGTATATAACCTGGTTGTTGATTAATTTGCTGAGCCATATTTGCTTGAATAATTGATTGTTGAATTTGGCCCTGGGGAAAACTTTGGGCATGAACAGTTTGCGGCATTGATTGAATTATATTCGCAGCATTTGTTGGAATATTAGTCATAGTTTGATGGGAATTCGGATGAATATTTGACATAATATTTGCTTTCATATTTTCGTTATTAATGACAGAAATATTCATTTGGTTGGGGTTTATTGTAGTTGGCAGCGTAATAGGGATTTTTAAGCTTTGTCCGGGGGAGTTTTGCACATATAACATACCGCCAACAACACCGCCGTTGCACTCCTTCAATTTATTAATAGCATCTAAATTAGTATCATTTGAATTTTTACCTGTATTATCGTTACTATTTTCGACAGACTTCATTTTATTTCCTTTTGAATTATCAGAATTATTCTGATTATTATGATCCAAATAATCCATACACATCCAACGGCCTCTTTTAAATGGCTCAGTTGATTCTATTTTCACAACTTTAAATCTATCACTTCGAGGTTTTATTTCTTTTTCATTTGGACCAACAATATTAATACCAGCATCACAGACACTAACATGGTCATTTTGTAGATTTTGCCCTGGTGCATTCTGCTCTGGATCGACAACAACAAGTCCATATTGTGAGCTTGTTGGTATAACTGGAGCAGTACCTAATGCATGATTTGAAAAAAATACGTCTTCTTTTGAATATGTATCTTCTGACATACTAGGCGTCTCATTTTCAAAATCTGTAATGCGACTATTTTCATCTGTATGAGATTCATCTAAATCATCAGCGGAGTCTTCACCATTATCAGAACTTAATTTACTCACTGTAATTGATGTTATTTGAAAAGAAGATGATTTTGGCTTGCGCTGTGATGTATTATTACCGCCACTGACAGCGGCACCGGCACTGGCAACGTTATTTTGAGGTGCAGTACTTAAATGTAATTGTTGAACTGTCATATTTCCAGTTCCGTTCGAATACAATGGTGTTGAGGTATCTGAACCTAGTCTTAAAGTTTCTGTTGTAGTTCTATTTATTACACCCATATTACCTTGATTATGTGGCAAATTTGTGTGGTGATGCTTACCATCTAACGATTTTGAACCAGTTGTATTCTCACCAGCAGGAGTTTTACCATAATATTGCTTGTTGCCTACTGCTGATGGAAGGGAAGTTTTATGTGTCTTAGGAATTGATGTTTCGTGTAATTGATTTTCAGCCATTGTTTTTAAGTTTACTTAATAATAATTTTTTAAATTTTATATCATTTAAATAGATATAAAAAAAATTAATCGCACAACTTTATATACAATATATATATATATATATATATATATGTGTGTATGTATATTATGTTTGATGATTTTTTTTTTTAACTTTTTTTACAGATTAATCTTTTAACAAAATTATTTTCTAATGTTTTCTGGTGCACATATTAAATATTATATTAATAATAAGTTCAAAAATACTATCGAAATTGATTATTTTTAAGAATATTTACGCATTATTTAGGAATTCTATTAATGGATTAATCAAGAAAAAATTTCACTTAGAGGTTTGTAAATACGCCTAATCAAACGAAACTATTGTCAAGGACTTATACGATTTTTTTTAGGTGGGGTACAAAAAACGTCAATGGAATGTCAAATGCCAGCTGCAAAATTGCGATTTTATAACGAAATGACAGAATAGCACCGGTATAATTTTTTTATATAAAGAAGAGATTACACTGGATTTTATTTTAGTTCAACGGTACACAATCAATATTTTAACAAAATTAAAAAATTTTTATACAAAGATATTAAATTTCTATATAAAGATATTAAATTTTTTTATAAATATATTAATTTTTATTAAAGGTAATTATCTTATTAAAAAATAAGTTGATGAACAAGTTTTTTTCAATAAAAGTTGTTATTAAGTCTTCGACAACTTGTATAACATTTTGACATTACTAAGATAGATAACTCAGTTATTTTTCACTAAATTATTTATAAAATCAGGTAATTATTCTTTAAGAAATGAGTAACCTTAGATCCATTTATTCAAAAACAATCTTATATAAAAATTTTGCTAAATTTATTTACAAATGATATTAAAGAACGCATATCAGATAACATTTCGTAAAAAAACCATAAATCTCGAGGTTAATATTAATAAAACTTGATCAAAAACAAGCTGGTAATTTTTGACAACGTCAAAATATTTATTAAGTCCAAGTACGAGTTCTTAAAATATTAAAATAATTTTTGGTGAAAATAAACACGTTCACAAAACAATTCTTATTACTTTTTACTATGATAACAATTTGTAAATTTTTTTCGGTTCTAGAGTATAAATATTAATGTGCATCAACCGGATTGTCAATATTTTGAATTTTTAGTAAATTTCGGTATTTTCAATAGCAAATTTTTTATTCTATACACTGGAACCATATGTATTATATATCTAAGAAGAATTTCGACGAAAACTTCGCTTAAGTCAACAATTTCTAGAGATTAGATACTAGATATTTGTCAAAATATGTACCAAGCATAAAATTTTTCGGATATTTAAATTTTTTTTGTGCACTTTTTGCATTCATTAAAATTACCTATTTTTACTATTAATTACATATTACCTATTTATTTATTCTTTTAATAAATAAATTTATTTTCACGTACAAAAAATGCTTTATTGAAAATGTCGATAATTTTTCCGATATATAAAAATTTTGTATAAAAAGAAAACTCCATTTTATTCGAAATAAAATACTTTTATTTTTGCTAATATATTTCGTGCGCTACATATTCCAAATAAGATGGGTTCTTTCATATACATACCTAAAAGAATTATTTTTACGTATTTTCTAATTACATACATATATCTAATTTTATCAATTTTGTTGAACACACTCTATAATCATAATTAAAGAGTAGAAAGAGCATATATACTTAGAAAATTCAATTTTTTTTTAATTTTGTCTTAACATTGAACTAAATAAAAGAAAATGCGATTTAAAAATATATCCTCGGTAGTATAGTGGTCAGTATCCCCGCCTGTCACGCGGGAGACCGGGGTTCGATTCCCCGCCGGGGAGAGGAATTTTTTTTTCTAAATTCAGCATTTTAATTTTATTACTAATCCATACATGCCTGTATTCGTTTTAGCTTCTGAATATACTATAAGCAAATGTTGCTTAAATTTAATATTTAGTTAGTGTTATACCGAAAATTCCTTATAAAACATTATGTGATCATAAATAAAAACAGGAATGAAAATAATAAAAATAACGAGGAGCTATGCATGACACATCCTAATGAAAAGTTGATTTCTACCGGCTATTCTCAATACTAATGATGCAAACTTTGATTTCCAACATTTCCATTTTGTGGTCAATTAACTTCAGCACACCAAAGAACTAAAAAAACCTTAAATGGGTATTATTTTTTAACTTTTACAAACTTTTTATTGTACTGTATTGGTATAAAATAAAAACTTCTTAACTTTATAAAAAAAAATTGAACTTTATAGATTTTAAATTCATAAATTCTTATTCTACGATATAATTAGGGTGAACTACCAATAAAGGATCTTCTTCCTCTTCTTCTGTGCTTTCAGTTGAAGCTTTTGTTTGTGATTTTAAACCTGTCGTTTTTAGAGGAATTATTACTTGATCATGGTAAATAAGACGATCTATAACTTTTTCGATTAAAGTTTTCCTTGAAATTAGTTCTTCTTCTGTGTCAATTTGATCGGAAACTTGTTCCAGATACCAGTTTATTACATCATTTCTCCTTATACCACTATCAAATCCATCGATTTCACAACGACTTTCTTCGTTTCGCATATGAATAACCAACATGTTTGATAAATTTTTATAATCTTCAAAACTTAATGTGAGTTTTTTCTTTTGCAAACCTTGCATTTCATCATATCCATTTTGCCCATTTTGTGGTCGGTTTTCGATATCCTCAGAATTTTCAGGCTCGTCAATATCCATATTTTCTAATTCCTCATCAATCTCATCATCTTCCAAATGTATGTCAGGTTGTTCAACCCGAATTATTGATTTATTCAACAACCTGAAAGCTTCTTTTACATGCTTTTCAGATACCTCATTAGCACATTCCATTTTAGCCATAGCTTCACTTAAACGAATCATACTTTCCAATTGTCTAACGGTTATTCGCCATGTGCTACGTCCGGATGTTCCAGTGTCACGTTGTCTCAAATGAACATAATTTTCTACCAATAATTTTAAAGCTTGTTCATTTATAACTGGTTTGAATTGCCTAGCAAATGTTATGTATCTCAAAACTTCCTCCCGCGAATAAAATCTTTCAACAGTATCTTCGTTATTTGAATGTAAATCAACAATTTTACGAGCAATTGCGTAATCTACAACTTCATTACACTCATCTACCAAAATAAAGAATAAATCAAATCTTGACATAATTGGTGCTGATAACTGAATATTCTGTTGAAGGGATTTTGATCTATCGTATCTACCATTTATAGGGTTTGCAGCTGCCAGAATTGATGTTCTTGCGTTTAATGTGGCTCGTACACCGGCTTTAGCTATTGAAATTGTTTGTTGTTCCATAGCTTCATGTATAGCAACTTGATCACGGGGGTCCATTTTATCAAATTCATCAATACAACAAATACCATTATCAGCTAACATTAAGGCACCAGCCTCTATTACGAAATCAAAACTTTCTTCATCCCGAACAACAGCAGCTGTTAACCCCGCCGCAGATGATGCTTTTCCAGAAGTATACACTGCTCTAGGTGAAAAGTCTGCAACCTGTTTCAAGAATTGTGATTTAGCAGTACTAGGATCTCCAACAATGCAAACATTAATATCACCTCGTAAAGTGGTTTCTAAAAAATAATTAAATTTTATAATTTTTGTAAAAATAATAAATAAAATTTACATGTGTACATAAATAAAATTTACATTTTAATGGAAATAAAAAATATTAGGGGGCACCCGGGTTTGAACCGGGGACCTCTCGATCTGCAGTCGAATGCTCTACCACTGAGCTATACCCCCACATATATAATTTAGAGCCAAATATAAAATATTAATAATTTACTAAATCCTATCATTGCCAAACTATTTCGCAAATCTGAATTTACTACAAAAAAATCACAAAAAAAAAAATAACTAAATAAAAATTTATACCAATTGACTTTCATAAAAAAATCTATACAAGTAAACTTAAATATTATCTAAGCAGTATTTGAATGAAAATTAAAATTTTAAGAAGTTTAAGTAGCTTGTAAATAAAATTTCTTCATATAAAATTTATGCACAAAAAAGCAGAAACCAAACAGCACTTGGTATTCTATATTAGTTCAAATTTTGAATTTTTTTTTAAATATAACTAAATAAATTGAGTATACAACTAGTTTAAGTTGAATTACTAACTATAAGAGTCTAAGTAGACGTTAGTACAAATACAATTATTTATTACCTTAAAAAAAAAAAAAAACAGGGGGCACCCGGGTTTGAACCGGGGACCTCTCGATCTGCAGTCGAATGCTCTACCACTGAGCTATACCCCCACTTAATCAATATTGACAAATTTACAAATTTATACATTATACATAACTTCACATACTCAATACAATACTCACTTTCAAGAGTAGTTTTTCCAACTCCACCAAATAATTGTAGTAAAATTCCACGCTTTACTTCATCATTCCCATATATTGATGGAAACAAGCTAACAATTAAATTTTGGTACAAATTTTTATCTCTTGACATTTCATAAACTCTATTCCATTCGGCATCTGTCATTTGTTTTTTCATATCTTCAGCTGTTACCTCGTTCATAGGCAAATCAGTTCCACCAAATCTTGACGTTGTAACATGAACGCTACACGCCAAAAATGCCATTCTGTAGTTTAAATCTCTTACACCTAACGCTTTTAAACCTCGAATACCTTCACTTTGGTCACCCCGTTTATGACGTGCACCAGGTTCAGCTTTAGCACCTGGCATATTTAACGCTCCAACATCAGGTATTACAATTAATGTACCGGTGAAGTCATATCGATCACCAGCTTGCACGGTTTCAACTAATTCTGCGCGTAAAATTATTTCAACTGAACGTGGTATACAACCCCGTGGTAACTCAGCTTGAGTTTCTTGTATTCGAATTTTTTGGAAATCAATAAACAAACTTTTTTCAACATCTAAACTAAAACGTCTTCTATTTGCACAAACAGGATTGCGACATATCGCTGGATTTGTAAATTTAAATTGCTGTTCAACTCCACGAATTTCCGTTTGGCAATCCAAACATATAAAAGTACCAAAAACCAATTCCGGATGTACTGGATGAGTTCTTACTACTTGACCGGATATTCTGATAAGTGTACCAATTTTAGCTGTTGTCATATCTCGGACCTTATGTCGAGTTGGTACTTCAGCAAATGAAATATAACAATCTTTTTCTTTTTTTAATCCAATTCTGTCTTTTGCGAAGTTTGATACGGCTTGGCAAATATATGGATAAATCCTAAAATATAAAAATGTAGAAAACAATAATCGTGTTATGAGTTCAACATTACCTGTAATATTCTTCGATTATAGTAGTAGCTAAATTTTGATTGTATTTTTCTACATCTTCAAAACTAACTTCTAAAGTACACCGATCTGGAGATTCTAAATCCATAACTGGTTTGATATATTTAATTTCACCATCCTCTTTGAATCTATAAAACATATTTTTTAGAATATGAAATGTGTGCATAATATCATTGGACATACTCTTCTAAGAAATCTTGAAACAACTTTTGGCATCTTATACCAACATCATCCTTAACACGGAGCTGTCCTACTTGTGTATCAGCTACATCCATTTTAAAACACAAAATAAAATCTTCAGTTAGTTAAAAATACATATATAATTTAAGATGATGATTATTTATTCGCCTGCTATGGAGTTTTTATGGTTTTTATCCTACAACAAACAATTTCATCTGTCTTTTAATATTTTGAAGTTTGATTTTGCGCGAATTTTTAAGCGGGAAATCCTGAAATATATGACATATGCCATAATAAATACCAAGTTTTGTTTTCTGATTATCTTTACTTTTAGAACCTAGATGTCGTATTGGAACATTGTTGAATATAAAACAATTGTCTTTCTAATGCTTGACACTCTTAATAATAAAAATCAAAAGCAAGTACATAGGTGTGTAGGTATGTACTTTACTTATCTTGAAGTATAACGAGGAGTAAATTACAAGCAAGCTGCACTGTACATATTAAATTGAATACGGAGATTTTGAAATAAAGTTGTTTACAGTATCATTAAATTGTAAATTAATACAAATCTGACCATTAATATACATATCTAACGTAATAGTACTTATTTAATTTATAATTTTCATTGAATATTCAATGTATAGCACAATTTGCACGTCGCTCAATCATTCAAAATCAATAATTACTGTAACTGATATTCTTGGATAAATTTACAGTTATTTTCGCATTTATAATTTTGTACATACACCCATATCTACGTAGTCATCAAATGTTAATCAAAATATGAATAAAAATCAATCAAATGTGAAGTGTCCATGAATTTCATGAAAGATTCAAAAGAAATAATTAAAATTTAATTAGAAGACAAGGATTAAGGAAAAAAAGTATTAATGTAGTGCCTGTAAGGCAGATAAACAGGAGTATGGTAAGGTTTGTTCATTTATTATATTATACAACTAAAAACGAAATATTTTGATCGTTAGCCCCAAGAACTATGCATATGCATGTATACATACATAGGTAGATTCCTATAGAGATGAACTTTGAAATTCAATGATTCAAACTTTGAAATTCTGCTGTTAAATCTAAAACTGTGCTATCATTTATCTGCAGTTCAAACATACATATGTATGATAAAAATCTATGTTCACAAATCTATAACTAAATTTCCAATATTCTATTAATTTATCAAACTTTAAAGTTGAATTCAAAAATGAATAATTTAAAAAAAATTTTTAATAAATGGAAAGCAAAATTATTAGGAATTTATAATATTAAGATTGACTGAACTTAAAACTTTGAAAAAAAGAAAAACACAAAAACACTTGAAACGAAAGATACATACATAGCTGATAAGGGTTCCTTTTACAATAAAGACTGGATTGAAATTCAAAGTGGCGGTTTATGTTATTAAATTTAATGAGATGTCCGTATTTTTAAAAAAATTTATGCTGTACATATATAAAAATTCATCTATGAATACCTAATTACCTATTTAATTTAATAATTATTTGATATTTTCAATTTTATTTGCTATTACTATTTTGTCCAGGCAAATATGTATGTATATTTAGGTAGGTATACCTACATCCATACGAGTACGTTACATAACACATACAAAAGTATATGATTTTTTTTATTAAACAAAATCAACAAGTTTATCTTGCCGGATTATACTTTGTAGTATCTTTATATTTCGTATGGATGTGTGTATGTATTACATGCTAAAATTTTCAGTAATTTATAGTTTTAATTTAACCTTGACCTCTCCATAACATTGAATAATATTTAATATTTGAAATACATAATGTTAATAAAAAGGATTTACTTATGTAGGTACCTACCTATCTATAGTTTCCGAAATTTATTTATTTTTTTTTTTATAATTGCTTAATTTTTTGATAAAAAATACATACTTACATGCATATGTATTATATTTGTACCTATATAATGGAAAATATATTTTTACTGTGTGGTTGCGGTTATTTAACTGAATTAAATAAAATTTTATTTTTCGTTTCTCAATATTTTCTTTATTTTTAGACAAACTTAAAATTTCATATTTGTATTCTAAGAAGACAATCAACAGAAGAGTTATTCAAAGAAGATTTATGTAACCAAATAAGACATCACATATTTTAGTTTGATTTAAAAATTATTTTTATCAAAAACAAATCAAGATGTAAGTACGAGTATATTATTAAATTTATATTTAGTATAAAAATTCATTTATTTTGTATAAGGGAGAAAGAATAAGAGAAAAAAATAATAATTTAAAATAATTTTACCCATTTAAAATTCTTTCTTAGAAAAATTTTAAGTTTAAGACAAAAATAATAATGAAAATACCAGGACCAACTGAAAATGAACACCAATCGCTTTTTTATCATTCATTTTCTAGCTCTATTCAATTTGCTAATAATTTTTCAATACCAATTAATTAATTTTTTTCATGGCTTTTATATTTTAAGTGATTATCTCAAAGTAAATTAAAATTACTAGGGCCCTTTACGCACAAAATGAATTTTAAAAATAATCTAGAATGCAGTAAACAAAGTTAGAAAGTATAAAACAGCAAATCTGCCCTTTTTTTTTGTACATTCTTCGTAAACTTCCGCATAGATAGCAGATTTTGAAATTGTTACAATGTACTTTTGATGCCTTAATATTTTCATACGTGAATTAATAAATAGTACACATATATGTGTACATATGTATGTACACTTATTTTCACATGTGAATATACCAGTTTTTATATAAATGTTTTAAAAATATTAATATTATTTGCATAATTTTCATACCGAATCTAAGAAAACTTTTTTAAAAAGCGTACCTTTTTGCAAGGAGGAACTTTTAAAAGGATAATTTATTATGAATTTAATTCATATAAGAATAAATTGCATTTTATTTTCCTGTTAAGGAAACAAGGAAATTATTTTTAATTTTATATTCTTGAAATTATGTGTATGTATAATGCTATTTTTTTGTTTTTTGTTGAAAAATTGCAAAAATTCCTTTAATTACGTAATAAAAGAAAAAGAAATCTGATTCTGATGTACTCAACTTTTTAATAATTTTGATCAAGTTTTTTTTTTTTGTAATGAAAAGGATGTTTAAAATGTGAGTGTGGTATTTATTTTAATAATTTTCTTTTTTTTTCCATTCTATCCAACTATTCTTGTTAATATTGTCATTTTCCTGTTGACCTAGATTTTTTAATTCTTTTATATTTTAATTGTTGTTAATCGTTTAAACTTCAATGCTCTACTCATTAATGATTATTATATTATAAATAATATCGTAATATAAGGTGTAATACAAATTATGAAATAAATGATAATAAAAACTTGTATTTAAAATATGGACCCCCTTTGCACCTTTCTATAATATTTTAATTCAATTCACTTTTACAATTATAGATTGAGGATTTGTGTTTTTGTTTGTAAGTACAAAAATTTTTTAATACAACTTAGTTCTTACTTTAAACTGGTATAGCCTAAAGACAATAATTCTCATTCAAATAATAGAATTAAGTAATAATAATTAAGCACAATAACTTACTAAATTATATTTGGCAATAACTCCTACATTAAAATTTTGGCTATAGCTACTAAATTAAATCAAATTTGTAGAATAAATTTATTTTACAAAGTTTACAATTACACCAGAATGCAACACAAACAAATTTTTTAACAACTACTGAATCGATTACAGCCTCAGTAGTGCTATTGTCAATTAATATTAAATGTAAAAGTTATGTTTGTACGTTTCAGTTAGACCGTGCTTCAAAGCCGTGCTGGTTGAACATTAAACCGTGCTGGTTAAAAGTAACATAAATTAAGAAAAAAATTTAATTTTGTTAAAGGTTTCAAATGAAATATTTAGAGAAACTCTTACAAAATTATTTTACATATTTATGTTATAATAGTTACAAAATAAATATAAATTTAATGAAAATTTTGTTGATTAAGCGCAAGTTCCATTAATAATAATAATTTAAATAATATTATTGCTGTTCCTTAGCAAATATCCGCTTAATCCGTTATTTTAATCAGTTATTATTGAGCAAATGCATATTTAAAAACATGAAGCCGAATTCAATTAAAATTTAAAAAAGAAATTTGGAATATAAAAATTGAAGGGATCATCTATACCAAAAGTTCTTTTAATTAAAGAAACATTTCATATAGACAAAGTAGTACTTATACAATAAACTTAACATCTACATATAAAAGTTTACGGTTAAGTACAAATATAATATGTAAAGTTTATCATGTTTACTTCTTATTGTTAACATTTTCCACTGTTATACTTCATACCGGCATATATGAAAAAAGCTTTGAATCAACACGTATTTTTCCTAAAAAACAAAAAATTTTGATTAGAAAAAAAAATCGAATTAAAAAAAAATTTCCATAAAAAATTATAAAAATTTATACCGTTATAGGATTCAAACCGTTATAATTTTATATAACACATTCAAACAATAATTTTCCTCTATACATTTTTGGATATGTGTGTATTTGCTTAATATTGTGTATTAGTATAGGATATGAATGAAACTGTAATAAAAGAAATATTTTTATAGGTACACAAAACAAAATATTTTCCATTATAACAGATTTGTGTATGTGTATGTGTTTATGTATAACAGAAAATAATTTACAGAGTGTGTAACATTAGGTATTCAATGTTATGTTTGTTTTTTTTTTATATAAAATATTGATTTCCAATTTGTTTTTGGACGATTTCATTATATTATTTTTAAGCATATAAAAAAAATTTTTTCAGGTAAAATAAAAGCTCATCCAATAATTTAAAAAAAGAATTGCATAAACTGAAATTTTACCATTTTTGCTTGTATATTTCCGTTTTAAAATAAAAATATTTTAAAACTAATTTATTCATTGATTTTATAATAAAAATCAATTGTTCATGACGTATTTTCTTATAACAAATATTAGTTAAGCTAGTATATTTAAAATTTTCACTTTAATTTATTGTTTTTAAGAATAATTATTTAAAAATTTTCTTTTTAGATATTTGATAAAAGTTCAGTTAGATTCTCACAATATCAATTTCGAACTTGATGTTCGAAATAATAAATATCAATTTAATAATTCAAATTGATTTTAATTCAATTTTATGTATGAAATTGATTTCTTAATGGAAAATTAGTACATATATTAAATAAATTATATGTAATTATTATAAAAATTAATTGAATATTTTCATGACTTCATACAAAATTGTCATTAATTAAATTATAATATAGAAAATCTATAGCTTTAGGGTGTATCACACTATTTTACTCGCCAAATGAAGAAAAAGTGACTGACAATCATATATTTGTATAACTTGATAGTCAAATGATAGACACACAAAATTGCAGTTTTTTTTTTGGAGGTGATAAATTCCAGTGGTATTTTGAGAAAAAAATGCAAAGATCCAATTGAAAAAGAGAACAATACGAGTATTATTGGAAATGTGATGTGTTCAATTGGAAAAAATGAGGATTATGATTTGAATTCGGACAGTTACAATTTTGAGGTTAAAATTTTAATAAAATTGATCATTTCACAATTTTAAATTATGTAAATTGAAAAATTCAAATTTATTTTTTATTTTTTCTCAATCCCGATATGTTTAAATAAAATAATACAGAATGAAATTTCAAACCATATGTTCTTTGTGCATGTATTATACTCGCATTGAAAATTATATGTAATGTTATTTATATACATACAAATATATTATATACTTGGTATATGTCCATATAATGTTAAAGAATTATAGTTAAAACTTATATAAGTGTAATATGCTTGAAAGAAATTTTTTCTTTCACTTCTTTTACTGTTATTCTTTAATATCTTGTGTTGTCCTTTACATTTTAGGTACCTATATACATATATACATTTGCATGTTTATAATATAAAAGATTTATAGAGTATGCCAATTCATATCATGTAGGTATACAAAATAAATCCAATGTATACACATATACAATTATATATAATATAAAAAATTAAGAGATAAACATATAAATACAGTTGATTTTTGAAAAGCTTTGTCACATTAAGTTTGAATCATCAACGGAACAGTTGACAATATTTAAAAAAAAAGGAAAATAAATAGAAATTTTTTTTGTTTTAAGTTAGCTTGGAAAATTTAATTGAAAGCAAAAAAATTATTTACAAAAATAAAAATTATTTTTTTTGGTAAAAATTTGGAAAATAAAATTTTTTTTATTTTTCCCTTTCTATTCCTACATAAAATAATAGCCCAGAATACGATTAAAATTACCAAACAAGAGATAACTGAGAAATTGTAAATGAAATTATTAATTATTATTCATAATTAATTGTAATAATAAAAGAAAAAACAAATTTAAACCGAAATTTTAAGAGCGGAAGAAGGAAAATAACTGTAATAATTTTGGAAATAAGAAAATATTAAAAAAATTAATAATTATTTTTATTGTTATGTGCAGTTATTAAAATTTTATTGAAATAAAATTAAAAAAAAATCAACATTAATATAATAACATACATACAAATATACAAAGTGAATAAAATATTACACAAAATATAAAGGTTGAATTTTGTAATAACGGTAAAAAAAATTTAAAAGAAAGGAAAGTGTTAAGATAACAGTAAAAATAGTGAATTTATTTTGTTTTTAAAAATTTCTTAATAATATTGAAATAATTTTTTTAATATCTTTAAAAATTTGAAATTTCAATAAAAATATTCATTCCGACGGTGTTATCAAGATATCAAGACTATATAGCTATATATAAGAAGCATTTTAAGAAGGATTCAAAAATTTCAAATTGTATATTTGAGGAATTTGATTGAGAACGAAGAATTTCCTGATTTAAGACTATAATATTTTTGATTTTTGTAAGTATATTTTATAATTAATTAAGTATTATAATTATTAAATTTATTATTTAAACAACTATAATATAAGAGCTTTGTTTGAATTAGAATTTGATTTATAAAATTTTATATTAATAATATTTTTTACTCAAAAGATGAATATTAATTAAAAAAAAAAATATTTAAAATTTTACTGGAAGAATATTTAATTAAAAATATTTTCATCTATACTGTATTGCCTTATTATTTGCCTCATCTATATAGCTCTATTTAGGAATTATACACTATTTTACTTAAACCTTAAACCAAGAAGGTGCATTATTTAAAGTCATTTAATTTTATTACCAATAATTATCAATATTTCAATCTTAAATGTATGTACGACTTGAATCTCAAATTCCATAAGCCTTTGAATTCTCTTTATATGATACAATTAGTAGTGCAGTAGAACTGCCAATTTATTGCAAATGCTTCAATTTTCCAAGAAAATATTTAGACCTAAAAATTAAAATTAAACAATAACATTTTTTTAATTAAAAATATTAATTTTTGTATATACAAACACTGGATTCAGTTTGTCAAACTCGCAGGCAACATTTTCTTCATTAGAGTGCAGGTTTTATCCTTAAGTTAACGATGTACGTAAGCCCAAATTTATGAAAATTGAATTAATGTCCGCAACTAGAATATAAAATGGAATTTGAATTTTTATTTAAATTTTTTTGTATATAAATTTAATAAAATTGGGAGGACAAAAAATAATTACTGACTTTTCGATCACTTAACATTTTGTTCAAGTCCCGGAAATTCTTTACTATTAGAAATTGTTTTGTTTTATATCCAGTTTTTTTCCAAATTTTTTTCCGAATTTTTTTTAACTTTCGTTATTTTTAATTTTATTATTTTTTAAGCTGATTCGAATAAATATTTTTTCTAATTTAAATACCAATTTCTATATTATAATTTAACAAATATATTTTTTTTTATTTTTGTTTCCGGTTTTTTACAATATTTTAATTCCAAATTTTCAATATCGAATTTCAATTAAAATCATTTTCCGGTTCAAATTAATACAAATAATCAAATAATTGAATTCTTTTGGTATACAGGAAGTAAACTGCATTGGGTTTATAACAAAATATAATAAAATTATATTCTTAAATATATATATATATGCATTACAAATGAATGTATATAAATGTGTGAATATTTTTGTATAATTAAAATTGTTAACTTACAACTATGTACTCGTATATTACTTTTCTAAGACTTTGTACAATTTTTTAAAATTAACTAGTTTTCTATGTTATATACAAAGAGTGTGTTATTACTTTTTAAAAATTAACAAATTCTGTATGCCATACAAAGAGTATGTTGGTGTAGGATGAAAGAAAAACGAGTAGGAACAATGCTTCAAGGTGTCATCGGAATAAATTTAAAAGTTCCAATAATAATAGAAAAAAAAATTGATTACAAAAAAAAAATCAATAATATTATTAGTATATTTGGAAAACATAATAAAAATTAAACAATTTAACCGCAAAGGTTATAAGGATTTTTTCAGAAATTAAGAAATAAATATATACAAATTTTGAACTCTAGAAGAAAGATGTAATATCATGCTTGATGCCTACCCATAAGTTGTTTAATTGTCAATTCTAAACTTAATTTCGGCTCACTTTAAAAATTCTCAATTCAAAGCAATAACATGTAAAATAAGCGCAGAATGACGATATCCGGCGGTAATACAACCCGCGTATTTAGTCTTCATTATAAGTTACTTTAAATAGTAAGCCCATTATAAATTTTATCTAAAATAATATAATATTGAAATGCACAAGTCCAATTTTACCATTGTCAAATTGTCCACAATTAAAAATTTGACATTTTTCTATTGTGAATTTTTTGTATGTCATTTTAAAAGGAATTCGAATAACATTAAATAACACTTAGTAAGTGGTTAGATTCATAACAAAAAAATTTTATTTAAGGAACCAAATTCAGTAATTCATAATAACTATCAACAATTTTCAATTAAAAGATTGCATTTGAAAATCAAAATTATTCAACAATTTTAAGCATTTTATATTTGGTCACAAAGTTTAATTAACATTCTATAATAAACAGTATAAACAAAATCCGAAAATTCAATTGATTTTTTAAGAAATCAAAATTAATTTTGCATCAATTTTAATTCGGCTAACTTAAAAAAATTCAATTGTAGTAGAATAAAGTTATAGTCTATGACACCATATTTGCGTATATATAATTATTATGTACCTACGAGTATATATGTATGTAATAACAATAAAATTTATTCTACTCGTTCTTTTAGAGAATAAATTTTATTTTATTTATTCAAAATTATGAAAATTCTTTAAAAATTTTCAAAAAATAATTCTTAAAAGTATTTTTAATTTTTTTATATTCTGTATAAAATTTATACATATATGTAGCTAGCTAGAATTTTATTATGATTTTTGATAAATCTTTTAAAAAATTGTTTGATTTTTTCAATAATATGAAAAATTTATATGGTTTGTCCGTCGGGTTAATTTCGTTTTATTTATTTTATTCAATTAAATTCGCATATGGGCTAGTGCTAGAGGAAGTACTAGTGTAAGTGATATGAAAATTATTGCATTCCAATATTATCTTATCCTGTTGCATGCAGATGGGGTTAATGGTTATCATGAGATGCTATATACAAATGTGTAAGCTTACTTTTAATGAACAGTTTTAGTGGTAATGTATACTATTTTCTAAATGAATATGTAGCCTTTCTGTGTAGATGCGGCATATAATTTGTATTGCATATATTGTTGTAAAATGCAACAAAGTATAGTAACTCATTTTCTTATTACGCTTAAATCATCTAATTTATATTCGCATCTAAATCTAAATTTATATTCGCATTATTTTTTTTTTCCTTTATTATACCTATTAGAAGTGTAGAGCTTCCGCAAAGCCCTTCCATATTTCTCTATTTTGGGCATTTCTCTATTTTTAAACTGGGCCCATGTTTTTCCTACTTCTTCAATTTCTTTCAACACACTTCTTTTTCAAGTATTTCTTGGTTTTTGTACACTTCTTGATCATTGAGAGTTCCATTCTATTGTCTGTCTTGCTATCGAGTATTCAAGCCTTCCTAGAATGTGTTCGAACCATCTGCATTTTCTTCTCTTAATTTGTTTTTCTATTGGCTCCTGTTCGCATACTGATCACAAGTTATGTTTGATATTGTATTTGGCCAGAACACTCTACATATGATCCGGTGGCACTTATTTATGAAAACCTTCAATTTCGCTATGTTTTTCTTTTTGAGTAGCCATAGGTTTCATTGCCATATAGCGTGAATTTTCAAATCTATATGTTTATTAAAGTAATGTATAAATTTTAATTTTTTAAAATTATTTACGGTATTCAAATATTAAATTAATTCAAATATTAAATTAATTCTTTAAATATTTACATACATACCTTTATTTAGATTAGACTAGGTTGAAACGGCTATCAAATGATACACTTCAGCCATGTTATGATATTGTTATGATGTCGCTGGATCTCCATTTTTCCACCCACACGTAAACTAGCATAAGTTCTTTATAAACTGGTTTACATTTGCCAGAACCGTTGTTCGCAGAAAGAAATGCGACCCAAAGAATCTCGGCCTTCCCCATGCTAAAGCCGGCATGGCGACAAAAAGAAAATTTTTATAATTTTATATCTTATATTTGATGCAATTTTAAAAATTTTCTGATTATGTATTTCATTCCGGAAAATAATCTAAAATTTTGATATTCGAAAAAATAATTAAAAACTTTGACATTTGGATGTCAATAATTTTGACAATTTAGTCATAATTCTCAATATTGACTTGGCAATTTAAATTTTAAAAATCCTATTACCTACTCTGTTATATAAATCAAAATGAAAACTCTCTAATTAGTAAGACCTGATACAAAAATCTCCTCTTTTATTTCGAATATAAAAAAAGGGAGAACAAAAAAATAATTTTATCCTTTTAAGGATTTTATTAAATGAGATTTTGTTATTTAAACTATTGTGAAAGCTATATGAATGCGTAATCTAAAATATTTTTTTTTCTCTTTAATCTTTTATCCATAGAGTTTATTAATAAAAAAGAAAATATTGTAATAATATTTTGCATTTTATATACACACTTAAATAGGAATGTTATAAAATAAATCACGTTCAAATGCAGTAAGTTGTAGTATTCTAAGAAACCAGGGTATTGATGGCTATTTCTACATCTATTACTTATAACTCAAGTATATATAAGAAGAAAAATTAAAAAAAGAAAATCTTATTATGACCTTTTCAATTCAAATATAATATTATTTATTGTTTTCCTGGATCGTCTTTATATAAAAATCAATCTCCTTATCAGCATTGTATATAGCTAGCGTAATCAATATTATTTTCTATAATATTGAAAGGACATTTTCAATATAAATATGTATATAAATATAAATATTATGCATGGAAGTTGAAATTGAACGTGACCATCAAAAAAATTGCAAAAAATTTAAAATAGAGCCAAAAAGGTTAAGTATGCGAGTAAAAATGATTTATTCTAATTACCATACGCTACGTAACGAAATTTCTTTTACCGTAAATAGCTACTCAAATATTACCTATGTGTACATAATTTTAGTTTTTAGTTTCTATTATGGCAATTTTTGAACAAATTTAACTAACATAAAATTATGAGGTAATGTGGAGAATAGGGAAGGCATTAACTTCATATCAAAATTTTTGTATAAATATGTAAAAAATATATTGTTTTCGGTCATATTTCAGAGCATAGAGTGGCGTTCTTGTTAAAGAGATCTTCATATTGTCATACGGTTTCAGGAACTCGATACACTTATATAGTTATTTTAAATTTCAATGTTAAAATCTCTTTTAACGATCCATTCATTACACGCCTTTTGGCCCTATTTGTGTCAATTTGGAATTTGGAATGCTATTACAATGTCGTTATTTGACATTAAAAA